GCTGTGCCTTCAGGAGATTCTTGTTGGAGAACTCTTCCCATTCGTCAGGTGTGACAGAACTGAAAAATATCAATATCTTTATTTATTTTTTATCCAAGAATAATTAACTTTGTTAACTAAGGACACTCCCTCCCCCCCCCATCCAAAAACTGTTTTAGTTTAAAATAATTAAATAAAAAATTGTACTCACTTTTTCTCAATCTTAACAGGATCCTTTGCATAGCCAAGACCTTGAGACTCATTATTTAATGTTACACAAGTATTGTCAATGTTAATGGCGTGAAACTTGTCTTTTCTGTCCTTCTGCAGGTAATATTTTGCTGAGCGCAACAATCTATTGGTAAAACATGAAAAATAACATCAGGAAAACTGGGTTAAAAATGGTGGCCAATCATTGGAGAATATCAGGCCTGAATTGGAACTTGTCTGGTGAAATATTTCCTTACTAGTCATTTTGACCATTGACGTTGAGCCAGAAATGAGGCATGGCCAAGCTGTGGCTGGTCACCATGTTCTGGAAGGACTGACCAGCCATTTTTAGCCACAGGAAAAAGGGAACATGATATTCCTTGATTTGTAACAACCAACCAGTTGTTTCATACAATTGATTCAGCATGACTGTGAAAGTATTGTCATCCTTTATTAAGACCAGTTGCAGTTCATGAGATCACCGCTTACAGACCGGTATCCAATCAAAATGTTCAAACAGGATGCTGTTACAGCTATGGCATGGTACATTTATCAAATTTATTTTACAGTCATGCAAGAACATGTGAATGTGTAGTTAATAAGAAATTGTTACATTTATTTTCAAATGTGAAGTATTTTACCTTATTTGTTCAGTTGCTTGTTCAATAGTCCTTTGAAGCAAAGCTTGAACTCCTCCGATAACTTCCACTTCCTATAAATGGTTTACAACAAGAATTACTTCATTATGTTTACTCTACATCAATGAATAAGTTACCAATATCTCAATCATTATACCATTTATACAATTTTGAATATATTAAACTCTATCTATAGCCCCTAGTCCTACTTACCTTCAAGAGCTGCATTTCTACGTTATCATGAACGAGATCAACTCCTCTCCTCTTTTCCCTGTTCACCAGACATTGCTGTGCGATCATTAGAGGAAGTTCTGTGTCAGCCAGAGCTCTTGTGAGTCTKGCCTTAAACTCAAGCATGGCAGCAATTTCATTCTCTGTAGCTTCTTGTTCATTATCTAATTCTGATTTCCAATAGTTGATATCATTAAGTCTCTGGTCTAGCTTCTTGTTCACGTCTTGTTGTGTCTCTACAGTACGAACTTCGATCTCTACGCGAAGTCTTTCGCTTTCATCTCGAAGTCTTTCTGCTGCCGCACGCTCTTTCTCAGCTGTAAAATATTGAAGGTGATTTGAAGCGTGCCATTCCTCGGGAACGTATTTCGGAGGAGGTTGAACAAGCCTTGCCATTGCAGGGATAATCTAGGAATCTGTCTGTAAAATTTCGTAGAGATCGGTCAGTAAATCGGGACAAGAACAGTATAAATTCAACTGCAAACTCTCAACTAAAGTTCTTGTTGCTGTGTTAGTATACACAAAGTAACTTYTGCTTGTTTGCCTTGTTGCTACGCGACCATCGTATAATCC